AACGTGAGTCTTGCCTATTTAAAGCTGTAAGTATAATTTCTTTTTTATTGGGTGCTAAACTAACTTTTTGGCAAAACAAAAGACAGTCAGGATTTCTTCCCTTTCAAAAAAAAAATTGTGATTTCACATTTCTCTGCACATGTTTTCAAGCACATTTTACATAACGTTGCTTTTTTTTTTAACAAAAGAAAGCTATATGGCTTTGTGTGTTATTAGTTCTACAAGGATGTCAGTGATGTTGAGCATTAAATGAAGCGTAAATAGGTCATGGAAAAAAAAGAACAAAGTGCTGTGTTGCATTTGAAAATTTGGATTTAAATGGTTCATTCCTGTAACTATAATGCGAGGATGAATTTACTGGGGGGAAGGGGGGCAAAACCAAGTCCCGAAGCCTGATACTGATGTCAGCACGTATGCATACCTACGTTTGCTACCTGTTCTGGTTATTTGTGATGTGCTGTGCAAAGGGAAGGCCCCAGGCCCTGGGTCACAGAGGCCTTTCCTGCTTCTGCTTGGGAAGGGCAGCCGGACAGCATGTCCATGCCCTACCTCTAGGTCTGCTGCCATCCGTGCTCAGGCCTGGCTTTCCCCACCCACTCTCACTCTTAGATTTTGCTTCTGGGCCATTGAAGCCAAAAGGTAAAGCCACCTTATGAGACCGGGTCTCTCAAACTTGGGTCATCCATGTGCCGCTTTCAAAATTTTTGCTATGGGCATCTATCACATTTGCCAGAATTTATTTAATTAAAAATATATAGACCCTAATATTTTTTTTACCTAACATTTTTTCATGGAAACTTTATATCTCCTAAATATTCTTCTAAATATTCCTTGCCATGAATAGTATTACTTGCCATCACTAAGCAAAGGAGGGTCTGTTCCTGAAGCCTACTTTTTTTTCTTGTTAAGAGTAGAGATTAGCCAGTGTTAGGGGTGAAAGACCTACTAGCACCAAACTGAGACTTTCTCCTTGAGAACTTGAAAGAGGGTTCATAAAGGAATAATTTTCTCATTCTGTGACTCATAGTTGGTTAATGCTATTTCCACAGATCACCTATCGTTCTCACAATCCTGCGAGAAGTGTCGATCATTCACTTTGAAAATATGCCGTATGTGATGAGATTTGATAGATTCTGAGAGGGCCCCTCACTTGTCATGTTGTCTCGATTCCACCATTATAATCATTCCCTTAGACTTATATTTCGATTTTGTTCAGTAATTACCTATTTAAATGTAAATTACTCTGTAACCTCTTAGTAGTCTCCTAAAGATTGGTTTCCCTTATTGAGACGAAATTCCCCCAAAGAAGGACACAGGCTGGAGATTCGGGCTGTGAAAGAATAAAAGACATCAGACAAACATACATTCTTTGCGGTTAACTTAGGGTTGTAGTGTCTTTTTAGGCATTTCTCTCAGCCCGGGACAGGGACAGGCCCTCTCTGTTTCCCCCAACTCTGGCTGCCACACTTTCTACAACACTGGGCTCAAAGGCCAACACCTGTGTGCCCCTCCCTGGTGGCCCACCCAGCTGTCGAAGGCTCTGTGCGTCTTGCTTGTGTCACTCGCCACACTAGTTTACATCATAGCTAGTTTCGAGCTCACCTTATCTCCTCCATCTAGTAGACAGCACATGAGCGGTGAAAGAACAGGAGACCGGACTTCGTTGATGGCGACAGAAAGTAGGAAAGATGAGTGTCACAAAGCAAGTTTCTCTAAGCTGATTTTGCAAGACTAGTCCTCATGCGGCACACCTGGGAAGGGTAGCATTCCATTCACCCAAATTTGGCCTGTGTTCCTGTGCATATAACTCATTAAAACTGGCAGACACTGAGGCCTGCTGAGCTGTGGGAGCGGGGAAGGGAATTCAGAACAGAGAAGCCATTCCTCTCATTTGAGCTCAGGTGCCCAGCTCCACTTGAGTCATCTTTCTCCCAGCCTAGCTGACCGGCTAGCATATGTGGACAGGGAGGATAAAGTATTATCTCTGCAAAGCATAGCAGTGACTCAGCATTAATACCTGCACCTTTGACACAGACTATGGCTTAACAGGATTTACGAGCTGCTTATTGCTTCTAAATCCACAGTGCAACTTGGGTGTCATAGTGGAGTATTGGCAGTGCAAGAGCGAACTGTCGTAGCAAAGGGATGCGTTTCTGAAGCACCTGGGCACCATCTTTGCAATCCTAGTCTCATGAGAAATCCTGTGGGTCAGAAACACCTGGGGTTGAATCCTAGTCCTACAGTTAGCCTTGATGTGAGTTAGTCAGACTCCTGGTGGTCCAGACTTTCTCATGTAAGCTGGAGATGACGGTGAGGTAATGGCTCCTGCTCCAAGTGTTACTGGGTACCCCAGGGAAGGCAGGATGGTTGTAGCACACAGCACACCAGCAGTCATGAAACCTAGTTAGCTCCTCTCTTTATTTTTCTGTGAAGATCTCAGGCTCTGTCTTGCTTGGAGCATGTGTATATCTTTGGGAGTCCCCGCGCCCCCCCCACACACACAAACACACACACTACCTTTACAATGTAAGACTCCATGACAATACATTGAAAATGAAGGAACAGCCTTGGCCCATGCGGCTCACTTGGTTGGGCGTCCTCCCATGCACCGAAAGGTTGTGGACTTAATCCCCAATGGGGATATGCAAGAGGCAGCCAATCTATGTTTCACTCTTACATTGCTGCTTCTTTCTTTTTCTCTCTCCCTCTCTAAAAATCAATAAAAAAAATCTTTAAAAATTAAAATGAGGGAACAAACTAATTGAATAGCCAGAGCTGGAGAGGAGAGTATCATTATTTTTGTTGCCTTTCTGCTGCCGCTATGAGATTGCTTGGGAAGAAAACCTCTTAATTATTTAACTAGCTACTTAGTTGACTCTCAGTTGGGTTGGACTGCAGTTCTCACACGCTGAATGCCATAACTTCATGAGCACCACCCTGGCTTTACTGTCGTTGGCTCAGACTACGAGGCAAGGCCACGCATTTTATGTGTTGTCCTTGGGGTAGCAGTGGAACCTTGGTGTTCTGCCCTATCAGGAGCAGCCCATGACTCCTTTTTTAGGATTCACCTGGCCATCTCAATTATTCTGGTGTATAAGTTGTGACAGAACAAGATCTAGGAAACAAAGAAATTACATTGGGCGGTCATCTAAGGTAATCTTTAGCCATTATCTTTAGAAGCTTAATGGTTGATGTCCACTCCTCCCAAGTATGTAAGAAAAGATGGCCTTGGGAGCAACTTGGAAAGAAGTCAAGGTGAAGTCTGGTGTATTACAAGTCATAATTTGGGTCACATTTGAAAACAAAAAACACCACCACAGTGCTGGTGCTGTTGGTAAGCATTGGCCTAAGGACAGGCAGTGGTTCAGAAACTTGTTTTTCTTTAAAATAATCTCACACAGAATGGCAAGTTTGGGTCGCAGGTGTAAACCCTTAGGCCTTACTTCCTCAGTGAGCTCAGTGCTGGTCTCAAGGACAAAAAAAGAGAAAGAAAAAAAGAAGTGTTGCATTGAAAACAGGTTGGTCTCTCCAGGCAGAGGGACGCTATGAATGCAGTTTCTGTCAGGACCTGGAGCCAGGAGAGAGAGTGGGAAACCAGCTATGGACTTGAGGTGTTTATTTCCCCCTCGCCTCTTCCCTGGCATGATGAATTTTGCTCGTGGATTTGGATTTGCTTCAGAGTTCTTTCCGTGTGATAAGTGAAGGTTAGCTACTTGGGGACTGGTAGTTAATTTGAGCCTGTGGGCAACTCCCCTTTGGCCTGGGATTCCATTTGTAACATTTTGCTCTGTGGGTTTAACTCAACTGTCAGGAGGGCAGGGGCTGAGTTATTAGAGTTCATTGTCGAAAGCTCAGGCAGGAAATGAAACTGTTCACCACCCCAGAGAAAGGCGTTGCGGCAGGGAAGGAGCCCAGGGTCCTCTGTGATACTCTGTTTCTCTGGAAAATTATGTACAGAATTTCTCTCTTTTATCCCCGGAGGACGTGCAGACAATAGATTTGGAAGCAGCATCACCTCTGTGTTTTGCCCCCGCCTTTGCCAGAGCACAGCCTTGCTCTATTCTGTCCTGGGGTAGGAATGGGTTGGACGGACACTGTTTCATGTTCATCAGAAGGCATCCCAGGGCCTGAGGTGTGACAGGGATGATGGAGAGGGTAGGCATAGGCTGAGGACAATAGAGTGGACTGAGCTTGTCTTGGCCCCAGAAATCTCAGTCCTACTTGCTGGCCCTGGGGCTGAATTGAAGCCAGCCAGTCTCCAAGGTTAGGAAGCCAGGCGCAGGGTGTGCCTACGTTATTTCCCTGCCTCCTGTTTAAACCTGGTGAAGTTCTTTTTATCCTTTTTTTTTTTTAAAATATATTTTATTGATTTTTTTTTACAGAGAGGAAGGGAGAGAGATAGAGAGTTAGAAACATCGATGAGAGAGAAACATCGACCAGCCACCTCCTGCACATCTCCCACTGGGGATGTGCCCGCAACCCAGGTACATGCCCTTGACCGGAATCGAACCTGGGACCCCCCAGTCCGCAGGCCGACGCTCTATCCACTGAGCCAAACCGGTTTCGGCTCTTTTTATCCTTTATCTGTAATCATTGCTTCTGGCTCAAAGATTGATATTAAAACTGTCTAAAAGCTCTCTCTCACCCTAACCGGTTTGGCTCAGTGGATAGTGTTAGGTCGGAGAGAGCCCAGGATCGAGCCCAGGATCGAATACATGCAGGCATGTGATGAGACAATGGACTCCCCCTGGAATTTCTCACAGACCTGGGATTTCTCACAGGTCAACTGCCAGACACAGATGGCTCCTTCTCCCTGAATACCTTGCTGACCCCCTGCAGCTGAAGCCTCCTCAACTGAATACCTCAGCTCATGTCCCCGCCCCTCACCCAACCGCAGTATAAAAAAAGCGCCCCCCTCCATGTTGGCGTGAATCCACGTGCCCTGTCTTTGGGGGTACGTGGGTCTCCCGGGGACGCAGAATAAACTTTCCTTTCCTTTCTTTTCTGATTCACTGGACTCTATTTCTTGCGCCGCCTCCTGAGCCACCTAACCTAACATTTGGTGCCTTGAAACCCGGGTGGCGCGAGCACTCCATTTGGCCGTCCCTCCGCGGCTCGGGGTGCCCGCCTCTCCCTCCTCGTGGCTCTGGACCCATCAGGACCTCATTTCTTCAGCTCGGCAACTTTTCCCAATTTGGCAGCATCAGCGGTGAGTCCCGCCCCGCCCCCGTGCCCGTCCCCCGTGGCCACACACCTGCCGGCGTCTCTGTCCGTAAAACGCGGCCGCGTCAGAGGCTGTCCTATCCGGGCCCTTCCAGGAAGGTCCCTTGGACCTCAGGAGATAGTGGAGACGTCCCTAACTCCTTTGGTCTACTCCGTCTGTCCGTGGCGCGAGTCAAATCGCTAGGACGCTAGCTTTTTGGCCCCGCTACTGGCCACGGGGAACGGACCATGGGCAATCAAAATTCCAAATCTGACCCGACCACACCTCTAGGGTGTCGGCTCTCCGATCTGGCTAAACACGGGGCCTGTCCCGGACCTGCGTCCTTTTTCTGTAACGTAGCATGGCCTCAGTCTGAAAACGGGACCCTGACTTTACCGTCGCACCGAGCTCAGTAATTTCTGCCAGCAAACTGGGAAATGTGACCACATCTCTCTCTCTCAGCCTCTCTCTCCATCTCTCCTGCGTCCCCGTCCCTCCCCCAAAGTTCCTTCCGCCATCTCTCCTCGCTCTGTCCGTCCCCCTCCCTCCGGGCTGTCCCTACGCTTCCCCCACCGTGCACCACCGAGCCCGCGGTGTGTGCGGTGCGTGTGGGGGTGGGTTCATGTGCTGTGTGAGTGGCGGCGACGGCACCGCCACCATCCCGCGTTCTCCCAGCCCTCCACGGGAGACCAGACCACCGCGAACTTCCCCCGGCAAAAGCCGCCCATTCTCCTGCCGGCCTTGTGCCCCTGTCCGTCCGCACTCTCCCCTCCTCCCTCCCTGCTGGACTCTCCTCCAGCCACGCCTTCTCCACCGCCTCCTGATCCCGCCTCCCCTCTTCCGCCCGCCCCGCGGCGGCCGGAAACTCAAACTGCCTTTTACAGCCCCATGCCCCTGCACGCCTCCGCGGCCGCCGCGAGCACTGTGCCCCATTCCCGGTTCCACCGCCGCGCGGTCTGTCCGTCTGCCTGCTCTGCCCCCACCGCCGCCGCTAACGCCGTAGCCGCTGCGGGAGCCGGAAACTCAAGTCCCCTGCCGTCCCTCCCCTGCCTGCCTCCCCAGTAGGCACACAGGCGTCCACTGGCTCTACCTTCCTTCTGTCCCTGAGCCTTCGTTCTGCCCCGCCCCTGGGAGGTTGCGACTTTAAACCGCAATTGAGAAGCACCTGGTGTCTTTCTCCGCCAACCCCACTGTGTGCATCAAAGAATTCCAGTGCCTCTCCCACGCCCACCCAGGCCACCTCTCTCGCTCTCTCCCCTTCCCAAAGGAACTGCCGAATGTCCTCCCCCATGACTGCCAGCACTTTAAATTCACAGGTGGCCGGCCAGTTCCCTTTGCAAGAGTTTGCAGCTGGGCTCTCTTCAGCCTTCTCCCCTAGAGCCCAAATCCTGAGAACGTTAGCTCCAGAACAGCCTCTTCCATTTCTGTGCCCATTCTACCCCTGAGGGAAGCAGTGGGGACTGAGGGCATAGTCTGAATCTATGCCCCCACTCTCTAAACCCGACCTTTAAGGTCTTTATTAGTCCTCAAACCCAGGTCCGAGATCAAGTGAAAAATGGCCTTGAAAGTTCTTAATGCCCGTGAGGAGCAGGCACAGTCAGAATGGCAAGCCTGCCTTCCACAGAAGGTGGACCTGCAGACACGCCTTAGTGGCCCTGTGGTTGACAGCAGCCGCCATGGCCCCAAGGGGGCTGTGAGCGGTGGGGTGCAACGAAAGGAACGCCGCTACCGGAGAATGCTTCAAATGCGGAAATGAAGGCCACTGGGCAATGCAGTGCCCCTGGCCCCGAGCTCCGGGCTCCAGCCAAGCCCTGCCCGGCGCGAGGTCAAAGCTGCCCCTGGAAAAGTGGTGGGCCTTCTGCGCCTCAGCGTAGGAGGGCCACCCTTCCAGGCCATGACCCCCACTGGCATGTTGGAACTGGCTGAAGACTGAAGAAGCCCAGCCTCGATGACTCCACCACCCTTCGCCGAGCCTCGGGTCACAATGAAGGTAGTGGGTCACCTTCCCGGTTGACACGGGGGCTACCTTCTCTGTCCTGCCCTCCTTTTAGGGCCCCTTTATCCTTCCAAGATCTCGGACATGGGTATTGACGGCAAATCCACCTGCCCTCTGGCCACCGGACCCCTTCCTTGCCTCCATCAGAGCCCTATAACCCACTCGTTCTTAGTCATGCCTTCATGCCCCGTGCCCCTGTTAGGACGAGCTATCCTCACCATCCTAGCGGCCACTCTGCCCTTCAGCCTCCCCGCTCCAGCCTCCCTGCTCCTTCCATTCCTGGCCCCCTCCCTTTACAGGGACACCGATTCCCCACTGCCATGCGTCCTGTCATGGGGCCCTGTTGTCCCAGACCACAGTCGCCTAGCTCAGTCTGCACCGTGAATGCCTTATCTCTTTATCTCCTCCACACTGTCCCCTCCTCTGAACTGAAAACTGCTCTGATCTCGACCCATCCGCCGCCACCCTTCCCAAAGGAAAAAATGCGGCAGTTTTAAAATCCAAGCGGCTAGAGGCCTGGGAACAGGCTGCACGACCTGCTCCCTCCCTCCCCGCCTTTTCTCCAGCCTCCAGGTCCCTGGCTTCCACTGCTCCTTCCATTTTCCCTTGGATAACAGCGTATTCTAACATTTCCTCCCACTTTCACTGCAATGCCTACCTCTCTCAGGCTCACCGAGTGCCTCCCACCATCCCCGAAGAAGATTCGGCGACACCATCCAGGACCGGATGACCCATCATTCCTCACAGGCTCTTACCTGGCAAGCGACCCTCCAATTTTGCTCAGGTTTTTCATATTTTCAGGGGAAACAGATACGGAATGATGAGGGAGTCATCAATTCTACTGTCTGGGATGGGAAATCCTCTAGTGTCACTCTCTACTTACAAACCCTGGACCTACTCCTACGCCCACACTCATCAACACAACTTTCCATCTACTCTCTAACATCAATCCCTCCTCTACATCCTGCTGGATTCGTCTGTCACTGGCTTGAACCCTCATCATAGCCACTCAATTCCAACCTATTGGACCATCTAACTAAATTCTCTCTAGAAATTCACAGCTCCTGGACCGGACCTCCTGCCCATGGCCTTGACCAGAAGTCCGGGCTACACCAAGGAGCCCCACTTTCCTGAGCCCTTTTGACCCTTCTTGCTCAACCACTGTCTCCTTACTGATCCCCCTCCCCTGGGTACGTATCTCCCATATCTGTCTTTACCCAGGCAATTGCTCCGAGAACACGAGAACAGGTTTCTGCCCAAGCCAGAGCCGACCGACCAGGACTCCCAGGACCCCCAGGACCAGCCCTTCACCCTGGTGACTCAGTCCTCCTTAAGAACCTACATCCACAAGCCTTGGAGCCTAGGTGGACAGGACTTCACACTGTAATCCGCACAGCCCCCACTGTGGCCAAGCTGCTTGGTGACCCCGGCTTAAGAACCTACATCCACAAGCCTTGGAGCCTAGGTGGACAGGACTTCACACTGTAATCCGCACAGCCCCCACTGTGGCCAAGCTGCTTGGTGACCCCGGCTTGACGACCTGTCCTGGCACCGCTTCTCCAGAGACCTGTCCTGGCACCGCCTCTCCAGAGACCTGTCCTGGCACCGCCTCTCCAGAGACCTGTCCTGGCACCGCCTCTCCAGAGACCTGTCCTGGCACCGCCTCTCCAGAGACCTGTCCTGGCACCGCTTCTCCAGAGACCTGTCCTGGCACTGCCTCTCCAGACTCAAGAGGACCCCGGAGCAGCAACACTTCTATAAATGTGATGTATTGGGCCCCACTAACGTCTGCCTTAACCGCCCTCCCCTCCTCCTTCTCCTCCAGGCCCTGAGCAACCTACACACACCCCCACCCTCTTGTGTGGAGGTTCAAGGTCCGTGAAACCTACTACCAGAACGGCAAACAAGTCACCCGGCAGCGAAACCCAGACAGGTCTTTGCTGGCTGCCGTCCCACTCATGACTTCTCCAAGAACCCAAGGGAAAGGTGAACGTCAGCCTCCCGTGGCTGGCATTCCCCTTTGGGAACCCGAAACTCCAGAGCCCACCCTGCCCCCATGGATATGCTACCAGACCAGTAAGCCGGTAACTGGGGGACAAGTCATTTAGAACTGTACCTGAAACCACACTGCATCCAGTCTCACCAAGGCCAGACCAGGTACCTTCTTTTGGTGCAACAGCACCTTAAGCAACTGCACGAACTCCTCTGACCCCGGGCCTTGCTTCGTGGTCACAGTCGTTCCCCAACTAACCTTGTATGGAGAGTTGGAGCTCGCCTGGCTGCTCCCTCCATCCCGCCCCCAGACGCACCGGGCTGCCTTCCTCCCTGTCATGTTAGGGGTGAGTATCGCCGCCTCAATAGGCCTCACTGGGGGGCCCTCGGGAACAGTCTGGTCACTGCTCAGCACTTTAATGACAAGCTCCAGTTAGCCCTGGAGTCTACTACTGTCTCTTTTAGCCTCCCTACAGCAGCAAGTGACATCAGTAGCCCAAGTAGCCCTACAGAACCAGCGCACCTTAGACCTTCTGACTGCAAAAAGAGGAGGAACCTGCATATTCCTTCAGGAAGAATGCTGTTAACTACATCAAGTCCGGAGTAGTGGAGCAAAATGTACAGACCCTGACTAAGCTGAGTGAAGAACTACATGCAGGACACTTCCAGGACAACTCTCCTTCCGGCTGGTTCCAAAGCCCCTTAGCTACCTGGGTCCTATCCATGATAGGGCCCCTGATTCTCATCTGTGTCTTTTTTCTTCTAGCCCCATGCCTCCTCAAGTTCATCTGCTCCCGGATCGCGGAGATGTCACGGGTGACTGTGAATCAGCTCCTGCTCCATCCCTACACTCGGCTCCCCTCCGACCTGCCTCTGCCTAACCCTGGCCTTTAACCACCACCCCCCCTCGTCGTCCCTGTTCAGCTGGAAGCAGTCAGAGAGTCGCCTTCCCTTATCACCAAAAGGCCGGGATGTTAGGTCGGAGAGAGCCCAGGATCGAGCCCAGGATCGAATACATGCAGGCATGTGATGAGACAATGGACTCCCCCTGGAATTTCTCACAGACCTGGGATTTCTCACAGGTCAACTGCCAGACACAGATGGCTCCTTCTCCCTGAATACCTTGCTGACCCCCTGCAGCTGAAGCCTCCTCAACTGAATACCTCAGCTCATGTCCCCGCCCCTCACCCAACCGCAGTATAAAAAAAGCGCCCCCCTCCATGTTGGCGTGAATCCACGTGCCCTGTCTTTGGGGGTACGTGGGTCTCCCGGGGACGCAGAATAAACTTTCCTTTCCTTTCTTTTCTGATTCACTGGACTCTATTTCTTGCGCCGCCTCCTGAGCCACCTAACCTAACAGATAGAGCGTCGGCCTGCGGACTGAAGAGTCCCAGGTTCGATTCCGGTCAAGGGCATGTACTTTGGTTGGGGGCACAACCCCAGTAGGGGGTGTGCAGGAGGCAGCTGATCAATGTTTCTCTCTCATCGATGTTTCTAACTCTCTATCCCTCTCCCTTCCTCTCTGTAAAAAAATCAATAAAATGTATTTTTTTTAAAAGAAAACTGTCTTCTTTAAAAAAATAAAAATAAAATAAATAAAAGCTCTCTCTCCTGAGCTCTAAAATTCTCTCCTTAATGCTTCCAACCCACTTACCTTGCTGCTCTCAGAGTAAACCTTGATCTAATATGAGGTACTAGCTACATGCAAGGTGCTCGCATCAGGGTGCTCAATGCAGATGGGTAGGTGTGACTGTATGCCTTTGAAGTCAGCATTAGTAACTGCAGATCAGCCCCACAAGGAAGCAAAGTGCATAGCTTTTATGAAAAGAGAGGATATGGAAGCATATGAAAGAGTATAGAAAAGGTCAATCTTAATGAATTTTAAATTGATTACAAGAAAATTCTTATAGATACAGCTTCCCCAGATTAATTCAAGTAATAGTTTTAATTTTCTTTGTACCTGAATTTATCACTCCATTGATTATCAAAATTCTCCTAAGCCCTCTAACAGAATTTTATTTGCTCTCTAAAATGTTTGGGTCAATTATTTTTACTAAGTGTCCCAAATCTTATCACTGAATCTCAGAGCTATATAAGTATCTCTGTCTCTCTCTCTCTGTCACACACACACACGTACACACATATATCACAGATGTTCGTTGGGAAAATCTTGGAAGATAGTCCTGAAAACAGCTGGGTGTAATAGCTTTTTAATTCTAATACTGTTTTCATGATTATAAAAGAAATGCATTGTCATTGAAATAAATTAGAAGTATATATTTTTAAATGCACTGATGAAAGTAAACTTTATTCATAATTCCATCTAGAATGTGTGTGAACATGCTCAGAATTGCTTTATATATTATATTGTAATTTGCTTATTTATTTAGCAATATATGCCCACTATTTATTTTAGTAGAGAATGACCAAAACTGAACTTCCTCAAAACCGTTTGAAAATTACTGTGATTATATTTTCAGCAAAATAAAAAGTATGCTGCCTTAGAATTAAAGTATGCCCCTGACCCCCACCCCCTGCTCATTGCAGCACCCTCTCTTCATCCATAAGGAAACCCAGCCCTGGAGAATGTATGCCACATTCCATGTCACACAGAATGGGGACTGGAACCCAGGTCTCCTGCCTCACAGTCAGCTGTGCTTTCTTTTCCGTACAAATCTTTTATGGTATTTTTCTTTCCTTGCATGAATGAACTTCAGGTTCATGAATCTTCCAAATCTCAACACACACAAAAAGTGTGAACCATTCATATAATGGATTTGGGAGTAGAAGAAAGGCTCTGGGAGTAGAGGGAAGAAGAAGGAATCAAACTTAGTTTAGCTGAGGCTCGGAGCTGCTGCTTGCGCAGGTGGCAGTGCTCAGTTATAGGAAGCAGGTATTCTGGGTAATACCCTTCTTCACAGCAAGACACGGCTTATTCGTTGCCAGGTGTTTCCATCTCTAGTCTCACTTCCGATCATCGCAAATATGGGTAGGGATGGTAGTTCCATTGAACTGGTGACTTAAATTCTGGGATTCAAAAATATATTAGCTGAGCATGAAGCTTTCAGTGTTGCTCACAGCCTGTGCTTGGGGCCATTTACCATGGAGCTTTCTGCATTGTGGGTGTTTATTGTGGAGCAAGTTTTTATTTGAAATCAGTTCCTCAATATTGCATCTGTCCCATTTGTTCACTTGATTTCTCAACATAAAATAAAGATTTCATTCCAGAAACTGTTTCTATAAACAAGAGATGCCCTGTTTGTTCTCGTTGGTTTCCGTCTCTCCCTTTCCTCTCTCTTTCTCCCTCTCTGATTCTTTCTCTCTGCACACCCTGCCCCACACATTCTGTCCTCCTTACCTCTTCTGAATTCTCTCAGCTCTTCACTCTTTGCTGTAGAGATGACAAGTGGGTGAGTTTTAGGACTGAGGAGTTCCAGAGTGTGTATGCCTGTGTCAAGATCTCTGCAGAGATCCCAGGGCCTAACCACATACTCTGCAAAAAAGAACCTTCTGAAGAGTTGCAGGAAATAATTGATTAAGAGCTTGCTCTGTGCAGGGCACATTGGAATTTAGTTAATGTGTAGCCTGAAGCAGAAAGTGCCTAGCTGCTTTCAAGGCCCTTTGAAAACCGTACAAATACTTGGTGAGAACTTCAGAACTCAGTTAAGCTGTCTTTGATTCTAAAGATATCCCTAGGGCCAGTGAATAAATTACAGATGCTTAAAAAAAATTTTTTTTACTTAATGCCTATATTAAATAATTGATTTTTTTTATGAACCAATGTGACTAAATAGGTTAATCAAGTTATTGCTGGATTTGCTTAATTTTCCCCAATTTTTTTTTTAGAATGCCTTGTTTAATTCCAGGGTTCTTTGTTATTCTTGTATAAAATTAAACACTTTTGACCTAGAGAAGCAATGCTGCATCTCTAAGCCATGCCGGGTCCATTTATCCAGTTGAGTGGACCTTCCTCCCCTGTACTCCCTTGCCTCCATCACAACCCATAGAAAGGGTCTTTTTCTCTGTATTTAATACCTGGCACAGAGGGCCTCTCTTTAGGGGTGCATTGACTGGTTTCACAAAGATGCTATTTGGGGCTTGAACTCAGTGACTTACTAAGTGGTACCTTTGTACCCTTCAAGAATTCTATTGAATAGCTTTTTCTGTACTTGTAAGCAAGTTCAATCTTCTGTATACTTTGTCCTTGCTTCATCTGAAAATTGTGTAGAACTACGTTGTAATTATGGGTATTTTAGCCCATGCTTTTACTTTCAATCTCTCTCTTCAGAAAATCTTAACCTTCCTTGTTCCATCTTTATTTTTTAAATTTTAAGGTCTCCTCGGACTGGGAATTGGAAGAAACCTTAGGAGTCAGGTAGTCTGACTCCTACCTCTTTCATTTAAACTAGCAGATGGCCAGAATAGGAGCACATTTTAAAGATAGTGGGCTGTTGTGCCTGACGTGACTCCTCTTCCCCACAGCTGCATGACAAATGGAGGATGAATGCATGGTGTCCTTTTGTTTTTCTCACTGAATATCCAAGCATATTTCTAAAGGAAGGGTTAAGGAGACGCTCATTT